CCTCCAGGGAATGAACAAGAACCAGCCACTGATGGACTGGTGCAATGCGAACCCAAAGCTTGACTTTGTCTTCGACGAGGTGAGCTGGCTAATGCTGTTCGCGGGTGACGTGAGAGGAACAGGCTGGGCGACCTGCTAAAGACATCATCATCGACTGCTGCGCTAAGATCATTCTGAGCCAGCTGGGAGCGTTTCACGTGGGTGACTGTGTAACGATTCTTACTTTTTTTGTTTGTGTGCTCCGAACGGAATGGGTTTGATGAAGATGGGGTATTATCGGAATGGTTGTGGATTGAGATTGGTATGAACGTTCCCGGTTTCACGAAAACTGGCAATAATAAAGATGGGGTATGAGAATGGCGCGCCCCCCATGATCTAGATAGGGCATGGGCAGAAGAGCGGCAGGAAGGCAGAAAAACGAAAGTGCAACCAAATTTTGGTACAAGTGAAATAGATGGAAGAAAGCCAGGGAAGAGGGATGACAAGGAAATGAGAGAATGAGGAAAGAGAAGAGCGGAACATGTAAGGTAAGCATAACTCACATCATTCGTTCCGCGAGGACTTTAGGCTCCACCGTAACTTCATACTCATACACATGGTTCTGAAACAACCTCGTCATCTGAGACCCTCCCACAAGCACAGCATACCTGCAGGTAAGGGTTGTCCTTGCTCCATCCTCCCACTCCTGCTCCTCTCCTCTTGAACTCCACGACCTGAGCAACAGCCTTCACGACGCTGCGTCGCACCAGCACTCCCTTCCCACCATCTTCTCAGGAGGTGTGCGGATCAGAGTCGAGAGGTAGCAGTGCCAGTCCATCTTTAGCCCCCTGAAGCCGTGGTACTTCTTGAGACCATCGTGCCCGTTCCAGCGCTCCAGCCAGTTGGCCGTGATGTCATCCCTGCGGGGGCCAAAGTGAGATGCGGCCCTTGCCAGCACCGCCGCAACAGCAGCTGAACTTACCTGCCGAGGTCCCCAAGGATGAAGAGAAGGTTCTGAAGGGCGCGCTGGGTAAGAAAGTCTTTGATCTCCGACTTCTGCATGCTCCCCGCCATGCTCAGCCCCAGCGCCTTCATCGCCTGCCTGCCACTGCTCCCTATCCGAGCCTTCCCGTATTTCTGAGCTACGATGTTGCCCCTTGCTTGTACTCTAGGGCAAACAGATGCTCTTGAAGCTAGCGACAGGAAGGAAACTTCTCCTCGAGGGGCCTGAAGGAAGCATGCAGGCGACCCGTGAACTCCCACATGCAGCAGATGCGCCGCCATGGCGAGTCCGAGCAAGGCCACCGCCATTCCTGTTTATATGTTTCGACCAGCCGTTCACATCTGGCGAGTCAGGCTGTAAAACAGTGACATTGAGTGCGGGCCCGTGACTCAGCCGACAGGCACTGCCGCGATCCGATCCGATCGCCCGGCGCGGCCGGCCGGGCCCGGGCGGCCGGACCGTCCCGACCCGGACCCGGCCCGGCGGCGAGTCCGACGGTCCGCCGGCGGGACAATCGTCGTCCGCCGGCCCGGGCCGCCGGGGATCGGACTCCCGGCCGGATCGGTCGGGCCCGGGGGCCGCCGCGGGACCGTCTCCGGGCCACACTCGGCCGGTCGGAACTTTCCGAAGTTCATTCACACTGATCGGACTCGGATGGCTGATCGGCCCGGCCGGACCTGGTCGGACTCAGTGACTTGGACCCCGCGGGGGCAGGAACCAACCGTGAAACCTCATCCTGCCGTGGGCCCCGGATAGCCTGTGACCGGACTGACCGACTCCGACACCCTCACGCTCCGCCGCAGTGACTGAGCGATGTTGCTAACGGTGGCCGCCGATCAGTGCCAGTGTGCGCCCGGCCCGTGGCTGAGACTCTAGCCCGCCGCGGCCTGACAGTGAGTTTAGAACCGGCCAGTGACGATAACTCTAGCTTAAGTTAGTCACTTGAAACTTTCAGTAATTGCCGGCTCCGGGGCCCCGCCGGCGGCCAGCGGCCCGATACTTTTCACGGAAAGTACCCCCACCCCCTATTTGAACCTTCCAACACCCACCCATGAGAGGTATTCGTGTGATAGTACCCCTGAAAAGTCAGGAAAGGACCCACCCCTCCTGTCTCCATGCCCAAATTGTTGACGCAATTATCAGTCTGAGGATCGAAATGTAGGAGCGGGAGGAGCAGGACCAGCTGGCGGAGCAGGAGGAGCGGCAGGAGCAGGAGGAGCAGGAGGGCAGGAGGGGCAGGAGGAGCAGGAGGAACAGGAGGGCGGGAGGGCGGGAGGAGCGGGAGCACGATAGAATGTCTGAGTGTGAGAGTAGCGAGAGTGAAAGAAATGGAACTATGAAACCAGGAATTGGCCCGAGCCTGTCGTTGATGAGCAAGAAAGTTGCGAACAAGTCCTCGAACATCGCAGTAGAGCATAGTTGCATGCTGCATGGATCACATCACATTCCTCAAGTTGGTGTTGACATGAACAATGTTGCGGAAGGAAAGATTGAAAACTTCGACTCTTTACATGACATGAAAGCTCATCATGACAATCGATGATATGGACAATGATGTCATGCAATGACTCCTGTTCTTGTGTCGATGTTGTAGCATACATCTCAGATCTTTTCTTGACGCGGTCCCCAGTTAGCAGCAGATGATGATGTAACTCAGTCAATCGCAGAAGGGGCATGCCGTGGCAACAAGGTTTGTAGCCCGATCGAGTACCAAGGGGAGGATGGGCTGCTGTGAGAGCAGACAAGACCCCTTCATCATCGGAGGAAGTAAGAGATGAACTCGTTTGCCTGATACCTGACTCGATGGCTGCAGGAGAAGCAAGCTACTACCAGGTCACTTGCTGCCCACCTGCTCCTTGTGTCTATCAGCTCTGTCAATCTGCAATGGGATGAAATCACTCAATGACCTCTCTCCTCCTCCTCCTCCTCCTCCTCTTCCTCCTCCTCCCATCCCTCATCTTGAGAGCTTCGAGCCATCGACTTGTTTGTGAACGGCACTGCAGTCACAGGATGCGGATGAAAGCTCCTTCTCTGTCGTCGTTCGGGCTTCAGAGATGATCCTTGCCAGCATCGGTGAGGATTGTTCTCCTGCATGCCTCTCGCGCAACTTGCTTCTTTTTGTACCTTGTGGTCCGTCGGCTTCTTCCAGCATGCCTACTTTGCAGCACATCTGCCGTAAACATGTTGACTATCATGTTCTATCTTTCTGTTCCTTCCTTCCTTTCCTTCCTTGCTCTATCTCAGTACCTAGAGCAAGATCACTGGTGTTCAACGTATCTGATGTGCACTTCCAGGTGACGATCCAGGCCAGCAGGCAGCAACTCCTGCAATGCTGCGATCAGCTCGGCTTGCGATTCTTGAATTGGTGAGGATGCATACGACTCGTCAAAGCTTGTAAAAGTGATGGCGGTTGTGCTGCTGCTGCTGCTGCTGCTGATGATGATGATGATGATGATGATGATGATGATGATGATGAGAACAACGAGGAGGAGCAGGAGCAGGAATAGGAGCAGGGAGCAGGGAGCAGGGAGCAGGGAGCAGGGAGCAGGGAGCAGGGAGCAGGGAGCAGGGAGCAGGGAGAGAGGGAGTTGAGGAGAGGGCCGTTGCTGTGTGCTTTGAAGTCAAATCTGTGGTATGTCTCTCAAGCGACCAATGACTGGCTGGCCCTGCAGCCCAGGGACACAACGACTGTGCCGGAGGTGGAGAGAAAGGATCTGAAGAGGATGGTCAACGTGAGTTGCACACGTTCACTGCTGCCTGCCTGACATGCTTCCCTGCTGTTTCGAGCAGATCTTGCAGCGCGAGGTAGAGAACACCGACATCATCCTGACTGGCCTCGTCCTCCTTCGCTACCTTGCGCAGGTACAGCAGCAGCAGCAGCAGCAGCAGCAGCAGCAGCAGCAGCATAAAATGCCAGTGATTGGATCCCCTCCCGTACTCCCCTTCTGTTCTCCCCTCCTCCGTTCCCCGTCACCTCCTCCTCCCTCCTCCCTCCTCTCTTGCCTCCCTATTGCTCCTCCTGCCCTCTTCTGACGGGCTGTCAGCGTCAATCCAACCAAAAGGCTGTCGCGTCAGAGGATGGTGTTCAGTTTGTCCTGCGTGCCATGCTCGCCCACGACGCCAACTCGACTCTTCAGGTCACCTTCTCCTGCTCCTGCTGCTTCCTGCTGCTTCTCCACCCTTTTTTCCTCCTCCTCCTCCTCCTCCTCCTCCTCCTCCTCCTCCTCCTCCTGTGTTTCTGACCCGCAGTAGGGTGTCGCTTGCGACACGTTGGGAAATCTTCTTCAGGCAATGGATCAGGGAAGAGGGAGGAGGGGCTGAATCTCTGCGAGCAGGAGGAGGAGAACAACAGGCAGTTCTTGAAGCTCAAGGTGAGACGAGACGAGACGAGACGATGATGATGATGATGATGATGATGATGATGATGATGATGATGATGATGATGATGATGACGATGAGGAGGAGGAGGAGGAGGAGGAGGAGGAGGAGGAAATAGTAGGAGGAGGATGTCGATAGAGGGTAACTTGGGTTAGGGTGTGGACGCAATTTTCGGCGCAGTGAAGAGCAACTTGGCCAACACGCGATTTCTTGAGGTGAGAGAGGGAGAGGGAAGATGTGGAGAAGAGAAGAGAAGAGAAGAGAAGAGAAGAGGAGTGGAGTGGAGTGGAGAGCAAAGCAGAGGAGTGGAGAGCAAAGCAGAGCAGAGCAAAGGAAAGATGAGGGAGAGAAAGAGTCACAAAACGGGGAAGAGGGAAGCAGCAAGTAAGAAATGCAGGTAAAGAGAGGAGGAGCAGGCGGACAAGGACGAGAACCAGGACCAGGACCAGGACCAGGACGCGAGTAGGAGGGGAGAACGAGGACTGAGCGTCCTGCAGGCTGCATGTTTCCTGCTCGGCAACGTCGCGTCGAGCGAAGAAGGCAGGAGAGGAGGAGCTGTAAACTAATGTGGGTGAGGGTTACTACCGCAGGTCTCAAACAGATCACGAGCAGGGGAGGGTCGAGTATTGTCCTATCCATCCTTGAGGTTTGACTCCTCTGCGATGGCTCTGCATCCTTGCTCCCATCCCCCTCCCCTGCTGCTGCTGCTGCTGCTCCTCGTCCTCGTCCTCGTCCTCCTGCTCCTTCTCCTGCTCCTGCTCCTGCTCTTCCCTCCTTCCTCCTCTTCCTCCTCTCTCCTCCTCCTCCTTCCCTCTCCTCATTCCTTCCCCTCCTCGTCGTTGTAGTCCTGCCTTCCCCCTTCCTGTGATCCCTCCCCCTTCCTGTGATCCCTTTCTCTTGCTGCCCTCCTCTCCTAGCCATCCATCCCCCTCCCCCGTCTCCCCTCCCTCCATTCCTGCGCACGCGCTCCTCCTCCTCCTCCAGCTCTCCTGCTCTCGTGTCGTCTGTCACTGACTTCGATCCGTATCCCCCAGGCGCATCAAAACGACGTCGATCTCATGAAAGAACTTCTCTTCCTGCTCTCAAACATGGTGCAGACTGAAGATGTTTGCGCCGAGGTGATAAGAGAACTCTTCGTCCCATCCTCACCGCTATCAACATCTGCTCCTCTTCCTCCACCATCACTACAACCACGTCCTCGTCCCCCTGCTCCTGCTCCTCCTGCTCCTCCTCGTCCTCCTCCTGCTCCTCCTGCTCCTCCTGCTCCTCCTGCTCCTCCTGCTCCTCCTGCTCCTGCTCCTCTTCCTCTTCCTCTTCCTCTTCCTTGTCCTGCTCCTGCTCCTGCTCCTGCTCCTGCTCCTCCTCGTCCTCCTCCTTGTCCTCATTTTTCTCTCAACCTCCTCATCCCCTTCTCCTCCTCTCCCTTTTCTTCCCTTCTTTCTCACTCTTCTTCATAGCTCATAGGGCACAACGCCATCGAGTCGGTGGCGTCAGTGATGGAGCTCAACAAGGAGGTCGCGGAAGTTCAGGTCAACCGCCTCCTCCTCCACGTCCACGTCCACGTCCACGCCCTCCTGCTTCTCGTTGCCCTCCTCCTCCTGCTTCTCCTCCTCCCCATCCCTGACCCACTCGCAGTCTCTCGGGTGCTCCTGCCTCTGTCACCTCTGCGGCCATGAGAGCAGCATGGGTGAACCCGAAGGGTTGAGATGCCAGGAGGCTGACGGGGCTGCAGCGAGTCTCCTCACCGTCGACGACTCTGAAGGCCTCAGCATTGTTGCTACCATCATCACAGCCCTGCAGGTCACATAGCCTTCTCCTCTTCCTCCTCCTCCTTCTCTTCCTTATCTTCTACCGCTCCCTCTTCCTCCTCTGCTTCCTTCTCAGCTTCCTCTTCCGTCCCCTATCCTTCCTCTTGATTTCTTCAACAGCTCCACCCGACTGATCCCCAACTGGTAAGAAGAGCAGCAAGGTGAGCAAACCCCTCACTTTGTTTCCACGTCTGACGATCATTTCCTCCTGCTCCTCCTGCTCCTCCTCCTCCTGCTCCTCCTGCTCCTCCTCCTCCTCCTCCTCCTCCTAGCGCCATAATTGCGCTCTCTTCGCATGAGCAGCTTGTGCCTGGACTTGTGGGTCAGACGGGTGCGAGTTGAATTTGAAGGAGGTTGCTGCTGATCGCTTCTCAGATATCATCGTCGCGCTGATAGTGGGAGGAAGGTGCTGCTGTTGCTCTTCTCCTCTCCCTTTCCTTCCATGCCTTCCTCTCCTCCTCCTCCTTCTCCTCCCCTCCTCCTTCACCTTCACCTTCTCCTCTCCTCTCCTTCTCCTTCTCCTTCTCCTTCTCCTTCTCCTTCTCCTCTCCTCCTTCTCGGTTCCTCCTCCTCCTCCTTGTCCTCCTCCTCCTTCTCCTCTCCTCGTCCTTCTCCTCTCCTCCTCTTCTTCTCCTTCTCATCTCTCCCTCGCCTCTTTCCCGTTCTCTCCTTCTTCCTTCCTCTTCTCATCCTCTTTCTCTTTTTGAGTTCCTCCATCTGAGCTGTTGTATAGGAACATGATCAAGCTTGGAGAACAGGAGACGCAGGCACTCGTCCATGGTGTGAGAGAGGAGGGAGGAGGGAGAGGAGAGAAGCGAGAAGCTGTCCTCATGTTCTTGTTAGTCCTCAAAGCGTTGGAGTCGCTTGCCAAGTCAGTCAAGAATCGGCGGATAATGATGAGCTTGAAGGAGGAGTTTGTGATGGCCATGACGGAGGAGGAGGAGGAGGAGCAGGGGAGGATAGTTCCCCTCTGCTTGGCTGTCTGTCAAAGCTCTTCCTGTCGATCTGCGTCAGTGAGCAGGTAGTGCTTGGTGTCTGCAGGAGGAGATGGGGGAGGCGTGGGGAGCAGAGGGAGGAGGAGGAGGGGGAGGGAAGCAGGAGGCTCATTGACAAGTTGAAGCTGAGAGCACGTGCCAGGTCCCTTTCCCTCCTGTCAAAAGTGATTGAAGGGCTTGAAGGAGGAGGAGGAGGAGGAGGAGGAGGAGGAGGAGGAGGAGGAGGAGGAGGCGGAGGGAGGG